TGTAAACATATTTTGGAGAGTATTGTCACTTGAGGACACACTGCCTCTCTCATTGCCAATTTGAAGGTGTTACTCCTGGTGTTGTCATTGCATTTTTGTATAATTAAAAACTGAATTCTTAAATATAATAAAGAATTCATATAGCACAGTGCTTAACTGCTTAAAACTATTAAGAGGTTGTTTTTATAAAATACATTTTATAAAATAGTGTTTGTAACCCCTTAATGCGGAGTTTTAGCAAAGACAGCTAGGAGAAACAGTGTAAACATAAGTAAAACAAAGTAAATACAGTATGTTTTTTCAAAATATATTTCCAAATATTTCTGGAGGAAAAAGGTTTCTGTCTGAAATAAAGAACAAAATGTTATACAATGTATGTCAGTTAACGTAAAAATAAACTCCGTATGTGTAATGTGGATCATATGTTACTTTTCTTTTCTCAGAACACTCTATAGTGTATATCTGCTGAGGTACCTGCTTGACCTATGTTATTTTCAGTTTTCTTGGGAATGACACTGCAACTAAAATTGTCCGTGAACACTAATTACAGGCAAATGTAGTTCAGCAATGTATTTTTATATTGTTATGCTTTATAATACACAGTATAACTGTAAATAACATAAAGTTCTGTTCAGAGCTTTATACAGATACAACACTCTTTTTGCAGTTTTGCTGGTTAATTAATGTTATTTTGTTTTCAGCATTTTCTCAAACATGTCAGAAGTCACTTATAGTTCATGGCGGCAAAGTTATTTCAATTTGTTTGTTACTATGGAAAAAACATTTCAAAGAAATATGAGGACTAGGGATATATCCTGGTTTCCAGAGCTAAACTGCCTTATTTATGATCTGGCTTACCTTCTATTATTTTTCTAATCTTTTCCTGCTAGTTTCCATTTTACCAGAGCTGAGAGCTAGACTGTGAAAGCAGAGGCAGCACATCTGCGCTGGCATGGCCTTTGCTGTTTTTGACATAAGAGAGAGGGGCTCATCCTCCTCAGCACATTAATCAAAGTGTATCCGAACTCCACTGAGGAGCCTCGCCCTGACGTCAGTCTAGAAATTATCAGAAAAAAACATAAGAAAACAAGCAATATACTGTACTGTAGCACTTTCTCAAAAAGCTATTCATTTTATCCTTATAACAATATATATTTGACCGATTTTAGATGAAAACTGAGCTCCCCATGTGATTAAAAAACACATCCTCACACAATTGACATTATTCTGACACTGTGCCATTAACGAAACAGAGGTCAGAATATTCAAGGATATCTTGAAACACTTCTTGCTATTCCTGTCATTCTCAGTCTGCATTGCAATAGCCAAATACAGAACATACAAGGTATGGTATAAAATTATATTTAATTTAGTGACTGCTCAATTTGAGTATTTCGTAACACAATTTTAATTTACCATAATGTGACCATGAAGTGTTTTTAATTATTAAGATAATATGTATTGACTGACATTTTACTCAGGAGGACAAAATATGGTACAGTACATGGTAATGATTATGGAACCTTAGGGTTCCTTACAATGGAGAGCCATGTTCAACCAACATTTCAGCACTCCTGGAGGCTTCTTCCAATATTGTACCCAGATCATTATTGAATGTAATATTGGGTCAAACAGAACGATTCAGATACAAGATTCAACAGTACATAAGATAAAAAGAAACAGAAAAGAACAAAACATTTAGCAGCTCTCTGAGTATTTCCAGTCTTTACCTTACTTTCAGCCCTTTCATTGTTAAATTGGATGAATAAACCATAGTAATATAACCATAGTAAATTGAACGAGTTCCATAGTAATGTATATGATTCCATCTACATATCCAATACTACATTAACCCTACTACATAATACCTAATATGGAGGTAGTTAGTTTTGAATGATCATTTTGTCTTTTCCTACTGAGTGCTCTTTACTGTGACACTTCGGAAGGAATGAGCTGTGAAGTGTCTCAATATTTATCTCAGTTGTTTACTATTTTACAAGTGAATAACAAAATAAAGTAGTATAAGATAAAAGGTTCACTTCCTTTTCATCTGGATAGTGTTCTGTTGATTGAGAGGACTTGCAAAATTAGACACAGCTGCTCCAAATGAGTAATTAGTACTTGGAGGAAGTGAAATTCCACATCAGAGAAAGGAACTGTTGTGATAAGTTCTGCACGGAATCGACCATGTCTCGGGGCCAATTAAGAGGTTTATAAGGCTAGTTTTAAGGGGAAGGGTCTGAGGCTTTGTCTATCGTATTGGACTATAAGGAGGGGGTGAATGAGAACTGTATTGTAGGATGATCTTATTACAGAACCCTTCAGACTTGTGGCTGCTGTGTCCAGGGTGCATCTTTTGATTAGAGTGGTGCCTTTGACCAAACAGGATCAGCCAGAAAAAGTTCATGATTATTACTGAAGATCCAGTGCTTGGTGAATATAGTGAATACTCCGTATTAAGCTTAACTCCAGTTAAGCTGAGGTTAGTGAATATTGTAAATGGCTAATATGCATTCTTCAGTGCCTGCTGAACAAGCAAGACAGGTTATTGAAGAACCTGACCAGAGCTGTCAAGTTGGTGACGCCCCCACTCCCTCCCACCATATTATGATCTCTCCTAACGTCTTCCTGTACCCACAATGACTGTACTCCTACACCACTACACACACATGTAAGCCAAAATTGTACTGTCCCCTCGATAGACCAGTAAAACTGTACTGGTCGTAATAATATTTAATATTAATTAACCATACTATTTTTAACCATACTATTTTTGCACTGTTCCAAGAATTACCTTGCACTGTTTTTGTCCTGTTATATTTTCTCTGTTGCAGAATTTTGCACAGTTTTGATAACTTGATTACGTTATTTATGTTATGTTATTACATGTTACTGTTATTGCTATTGTGTTACTGTCTATTGTCTTATCTTCTGTCCTATTTATATACTGCACCTGAGTGACTAATGAGAAACACTTTTCATTATGCTATGCACCTGTGTAAGTTTAATGACAGTAAAGTTGAATTTAATTGAATTGAAGAATTAACTGAAGAGTACAAGAATCTGGCCGTAACTGAGAGAATACAAAATATTACTGTATGTTGTCAGTGTTGAAAAATAACTGAGAAGGGAAGTCTCTGTGTATCCTAAATGTGTTAGATCTGGGATACTGATGGAGGCAGAAAGTCATACCTCTTGAAATGTGGAAAAACAAAAATGACATTACTGCCAATGTCAATCATTTGGTATTGAGTGTGTTGGTGTGGTCACACTGATAAATGCACTTCCAGATTGTTTTCAAATTTGAGGGATTTGAAATCTATGAAGTTTTTCCAGATCACAATACTGGCAATTTACTGTTTTAATTGTATTTTGATTATTCGGTAAATGTTTTGTGCTTTACAAAATAATTGTATCAATCAACACCTATACACAGCAGTGGTCCGTGTTCTGCATCCTATTTTTGGCACTGCTGGTGTACTTTTATGCAAGGTACTTCAATAGCATCATGATCGAGCAGTCTAAGCGCTTGGTTCATACTATCTTTTAGAGGCATAAGTTTAGATCATTCTCTGTTTTTCAGATTGCACCCATTATTATTTGGGGGCACAGCTTTTTTTAATATGCATGCATGATCATTCCTTTTTTGAAGCTGCTAAGCATGTTTACCTCTTCTGTTTTCACCAGACATACTGTATCTATTGGTGAAAAGGGGGACCAGATACTGTAGGTCTGACTCCGCTATATCCATCATCTCTCTCATGTGAATGTTTTCATCTGTGTCTCCTTTGCCCTGCAGGCAGCTCTCTCAGTGCTCTGGGAGGATAGCTTCCATGTGTTCCAACTCGAGGAGCAGCCACAGTTGACATTTTCCAGGATTAAGACTTCCATAAAAGGCACTGAGACTCCTTCTGCAGGATGATTCATTCACCCTAATCCATAAACACATTTGTCTTTCTTACACAGTTCTTATCCAACTTTTTTTTTTTACTTTTTTCAACTTTATGATTTCTAAATTGTTTCTCATGGCAATAAAATGAAGCTATTTTATAGAAGTTTTCCACATGCAAATCTGCAAATATGGTTTTATTCTTTTAATAAGCAGGGCATACAATTAGTAACTGCTTGAATGTAGTGTTTAGGCTAAAAATAATATATATATATACACAGTATATAACCTGTATTATACATACAATAGTTTCCTAAATGAGCAATAATTTAATTCACTGTTAATAGTGCTGCATATAGTCTTCATTTAGCAGTGTATATTTTTCTAGTCAAGTGCTACTATGAAATGTCACAAATGACAGGCAACCCGAGTCAAACCTATTTTTTTCATGTATCCACTTAATTAATACTATTTTTTATGTTATGAACTATGATATTAGTAGGGACAACAGCATCCAAGGATTTAATGCTTTCTGAATACCTGAAATACTTGGTGAGAAACGCTTGGTTAATTGCTTAACTTCTCATTTCTATCCCTCCCAAACTCCAGTTAAGAACTTGAATTTACTAATATTCCACTATAAAACAGAAAGAAGAAAAGAAAGAAGCAAATCTCCAAACACAAATGTTATTAGAAAGTCTTATTTTTTATTTTCTTCCCCAAAATTAAAAAAAAAATATTTTGAAAACACTTTTGACAAGTACATTCTATATTTATGAATTGGAGCTTATGTGTTTGAAGCAGTGGTCCCAGAAGTGCATTTATTATACATTAGACCTATCTTTTATTGACGAGGGTGATTGCCATCATATACATATTGTCAGGTAAAAGAGTGCTGTAAACACAAACTCAGAATTTCTAATGAACAAATGTGATATGTGAAGTTCTAAGGCTGTTAGAGGCCCAACATGTGTCTAGAATAATAACCTATGATAAAAAAGTAACTGATTTGTTAACACGTGTGCTGATTACAGAAAATTATTTTTTCATACTGTTAATTCCTGAAAACAGAGAACAGATTTCCTTTTTTTAGTTTCCATTTGACCAATATATTCATATAAAAATGTTTTAAACTCATTACATGTACTTCATGAATGAAAAAGAAATATGATTTTTTAAAAAGAAAGTATCTAAATGTTCCAGAACATAGTTTACAATACATACTGGACAAATTCAGCAACTCCTTCAAAAAACACATATAGCACCAATACGAATAGAAAACCCATGCAGCAATTCATTTTCTTTTTCTTGTTGTAAAAAAAGACTACTTCAAGATTTTTGTTAGGGTCATTCTTTGCAGGAACAGTGCAGGCTCGGGTTTTTCTTTAGCTTCTAGTTGGTCATGGTATTCTCCGGATCTCTTCAGAGGTAAAAGTTGGCTTTTGAATAATTTTTCCTTATGTTTCAATCGCTGCTATGACCCCTGGTTTGATAGGTGCTGAAAGCAGATAATAAACAGAGTAAATCATTTTCCAGTTCAGATTCACAGTAAAGCTAATTTCAGGTAATGATGAGGTCCAATTGGCCTTCAGTAACAAAAAAAACAGACTACAACCTACGAATTAATTCTAGTTTGAGCTGGATAGAACTGCAGCTATGACAAAATACATTTTTGCAAGTAAGAGTTTTGCTCTTGGCCCAGAATTACTGTTGGCCCACACGTAAAAACTGTTGGCCCGCATGTGGGCGGGCTGACATTGTTGATTATCAAGGCACTAGTTTTCATAAAAGAGCAAGTTTTGTTTATGTTTTTGACGTAAGGTTTAAATCACATGTCAATTAGCTGATAAATTGTTGCCCCAACTGCTCACTATTACATTTTATGATGAGACGTGAGTAATAAATTTCAGATGGCTGTGCAAGGTCACTTTTTATGAGAAAAAAACCTCACCTGGACTACAGGCCTTTTCACACTCCTCCTGGGTATCGAACCGGTTTTCATTTCCTCCGCAGCCTCCGTACCAGAATCGCGTGCAGCTCTTGGTGGGGTAATCGTAGTGCCACTTCAAGACAAACTTTGTGCATGTGCCCTCCTCCTTCTGCAGCTGGCAAATGTCTACCACTGTAGAAACATTATTGCATAAATTAAAAGAACATGAACATCTGTAAACATGACTTTACATACAATACAGTTAAAACTCAACTGCTATTAGTTATAACTATGAAACTAATGGTATGAGTTGACGACCACACCGCGAATGGGTGGATGACATTCTGGAGTGGTATCGGCCTGGTCTACAACCACTCGTCCCAACCCAAGGATCAATGGTGGTGCAGGGGAATAATGGACACTGCATTCGACACCAACGGAGTTGATCTCCATAGACAGAGATGATGATAAAACTAACATGTACAGAATGGATATGCTAAGTATTGTAATTAGTTGTAGTTACCCCTACAACCCTACATACAGTAAAGCATGCGAATGGAACAGTAGCAAAATTATACACTCATGACAGCCTAGTAAGGGCAGCACAGTGGAGCAATGGTTAGCAGTGCTACCTCACATTGCTGGGGCCCTGACTTCTATTACTTGGGTGCTATCTGTGTGAAGTTTATATGTTTTCCCCATCTTTGTGTGTGTTTCTTCCCACTATCCAAAGACATCCCCTGACCCTGTATTGGATAAAGAGGTCAGAAAATGGATGAATGGATAACATCCAGTACAGTTGTAGTACTATATACTACAAACCCAATAAAAGATAAACAAAGAGTCCCAGCAAACATTACTACATTAATTGAATATAAATAGCTAGTTCTGAGCAACATTATATGATGTGGAAGAAAGTGTTATGCAATTGCAAATGAAATAAAGGTAGGGTACAAGTCAATCAAACATTCCAGGAATGTTTTTAGATACTTTTTGGTCCCACATTTAACACTCTCTCAATGGGTGGTGCACAGAGCATGCGCCTGTGTGTTCAGGAGACGTTTGTTCAGTATGTAAAAAACGGAACGGGAACACTGCTCATGTGATATGATGTTACAGTACAAGCCAGCACATAAAAGAAACTGAACAACAATCATTCATACACTTCTATCATTTGCCAGTTCTGTAAGTCTTCAGGAATGTTGATCTAAATGAATTCATAACTAGTTTTATTTTAATTTCACATTTTATACCCTTTTAAATACATTAAACCTTCCTTCATTCTTGATTCTATTTTTCACATATCGTGTATGCCTGCACATCAGTTTGTGTCATGGAACACTAATAGTTTTCAACATATCTGGAAAGCCAGTTTTAATGCAGGCCAGATCTTTACAATTGTATTAATGGAAATTTAGCTGCCTTTAATCCAAACATGGAAAAACTGACAGTGCATACACCGTCGGACTTTCTGCTCACTGTTAAACCAAATATGTTGCTAATAAATGTTTGACAAACAAGCCTTTCATTCATCCACGATATGTTGATGGTTTGCCCCATGTCAATGGAATTCCAGTCTCTACTTCAATAGCATAAATGGCTTCTATTAATTTTGAAATATACCGTTAAGTATTTGCAGGATGGTTGGTCAGAGTTCACTTGAGTTACTTTTAGAATATGTACAGTACGCAGTTATAGATAAAAAAAAAACATAACCCAAAAATGGGTCATTTGTTTTTGGAAATAAAAGATGTTTCTGTCTTTGCCTGATGATGTAGCGGTTTTCAGACAATTCAGACTAAAGGTTCCTTTCTGTTTTACAATATGGAATGTGACATTTAAATGAAAACTCAAAGGAAAGATACAGTGTGAAATTTATGTATGTTTCTAAGGTATGGCCAAAAATTGGGGGCATGAGGACAACAGTGGTTGTTTATAATTTAACCATACTTCTCATGTTATTTATTACATTCATCACATACAAAATATATTATTCTGAATACTCATAAGTCAGAGAACATCCTAAAATCCTTAAACATTCAAAGACAATAAGTCTAAGGTTATATATTTTTATTTTCGTTTTAGTTTTGTTTTTAATTACAGTTCTCAATTGAGGGTGGAGTACTGACTTTTGACTTTCCAGTCCTTCATGTAATCCCAAATTATTTCTTCACATGAGCACCTTATTATTCTTACCTGTTGATGGTACTTCATCCATCTGAACTTGCTGCATGCTATTTTCCAGAGCTGTAGAAAGAAAGTTGTATTGTCTTGTTTTTAAAGCAGGTATAGTCTTCTAAACATAAATTATTAAGTGAAGCACTAGATCTAATGGCCGGTTTTCTAAACCTAATTATGAAGTGAGTTTGAGGTTTGTTCAGTTGCCAAAGGTTATGGAATGGTGTTGCACAGCCGTTGAGCGTACTTACATGGTTTCAAGCACTGGTTAATGCACTGGGCTTCAGTCTCGAATCTATTGGCATTCCCTTCGCACCCACCATACCAGAACTGGGTACAGATCCCACTTTTTGAGTCAAAGAACCACATAGCCTGATATTCTTTGCACAGCATTCCGGAGTCAAAATCAAGTGTGCATGGATCTGTATGCTTGTTAGCTAAAACATGCAAGAAGAACATTTGTTATGGAAAGCGGCAGTGAAAAAAAATAATAATAAAATTTAAATGAGTAAAATAAACAATTCTTTAAACAATGGGGGCCTGACTTTGAATTTTGTTGAATGCCATGAACAGTATAACAATTTAGAAAATGGGATTTAACAATTTAAGCAAATATTTGCCTAAATCTTAATCCAAAATTGTAATATTATACAAAATACTTCTAGAAAGGTGTTCTAAAGGGCACAGAGACAGGACATTTTTTTCTATCAAAGGAATTAAAAAAGCTAAGGTCCAAAAGAGCTGAATAGCAGAAAGTATAGCCGCTGATACTACTGTCTGTTTGACTTCAATTAGATGTTTTCAGCACACAGCTGATCAGATACATTTCTAGCAGAGAGGTGGACCAGATGCAATGCCCTCCTTCATAAGTGGTTTCTATAGGAGGATTTAAACAGAAATATAGGTGAAAGCCAAGAAAAAGAAAAATGTGGGAAAAAAGGACAAGGAGAGTAAGATGATTGATTGTCTTTGTACCTTTTGGAACAATCAATTGACAATTAACTGAACAATTGACTCAAATTATGTTTGGAAAACCAGGCATGCTAATATTAGTATCTTTTAGTACTGAAAGCGCAACACCTGTTTCCTTAATTTCTTTAATATCATGCACAAGAACATTCCTGTATGTCTAAAACCCTTTCAATTAAAACTTTATTCCTTCTTCCTAAAGAAGACCAAGTGTAAAAGAATGACAGATCGAACAAATCTTCAGATGCATGCAAACCATTCAAAGCCAAACTATTGTACATACAGTATGCATATGTATATGTACTGTATAGTGCAGAAAACCTTATAAAAACTACATCAAGCACGCACACAGATACAGAATATACAGCAAATATGGTCTAAATACCTAATCTACAGATTAATGTGACATTTAATTTCATACATCGGAAATTTTCTATAAAATGTTGCTTTTTTTGCAGATTAGCCTAATTTCACTCAACATGTAGAATTCATCCCACAACGTATTTCACAACAAAAGACTGCTGATTTCACTGATACCTGTTCAAAATTAAAATTAAAGAGCTGTTTATCACTTATCTCCTGTGAGATCAAACTTTTTACCATCGGATAATACAAGATGTAAGATGGGTGGAAATCTAGAAAATTTGGAAGATAAAAAAGTGGGCTTCCCAACATAAATGTATACATACAGTATATACATGGTTTGTGTCCAAATATTATACAGTATGTGGCAGCAGTACACAATCGATTTTGGTTCATGAGAATTGCTATACTATACTCTAATTATACTGCCTGTAAGTTATAAACTGAACCTGATAAACTTTCCAGGCAGTTGTATGAATACGGCCCACTTAAGAAAAATGTTAGTTAGAAATATAAGCAAAATATAATGTTTTTAGAATATTCTAAAGGAGTTTGTACTTTGATGACTTTGATGATGAGATTCGAATCTTACCATTTTTCCTTGAAATTTAATCAGACCACTGACACATTCATCTTAATGTGTCACATGCTGTATACATATTTTTGTTCCCTGCTTAACTCTTCTATATCTTAAATGATCTCATTCCTGTGCAATCTTCACCTTGTGGTGAGCTCTCCATTTCCATAGCATAATGATAGGGGCCCCTTTGAAGTCACATATGGTGCATAAATCTCTGTTTATAAGTATTTCTTTTAAAGCCTTTAAACTGAAGTGACAGACAGCTTTGTAAAATCAACCCTTATAGCATTCAGATATGTTCCCTTTCAATCTTTTTGCAGTGCACATGAAAAATGTCCCCATCTTTAAAAGGAATAGGTACTGTAGATCAGAGAAACTAAACTTGCAAACTTTGATTTTTTTCCAGGCAATGTGCTGCACTCTTGAATTTCAGGCATTGTACAGCAATTTGCAAGATTTGTAGATGGAATGTTTTCTACCTCTGTGGATAGTACTATAATTAAAAACAGCTGTGGCATCTATGGAGGCGTTTGCTTGGAATTAAGAAGAAAGAAAATAATGACTTTTATTTTCCTATTTTAAGTAAATTTGATAAGAAGAGAACACATACATTTATCACACATCATGTGTCTTACTGACCTATCTCTGGCTTACTCAGGGGCTCTGTTTCCAAAATCACTGAAACCTCTGCAGGACTTGCTGGTATCTTCACTTCATCTTCTGTCAGAACAAAAAGCCAAAGGTTTGCAGGACGCATTTGTGTCCACAACATGAAAAATTATTTAATTAGCAATTTCCACAGAAATTGACTATTGTATTAAGCACATGGTAAATATGATGCCTCCAGGTGTAAATACAGCCCAGCAGAAAGCAACAAATACAAACAAAAAACACAGAAATGGGAAGACCCACCACAAAACAGGAGCCTTGCTAAAGTGCAGTACAAGAGAAAAGTTATCATATCATGCCGTCACAGTTTTTGCACAAGGAAAATGGAAACTAGCCGTAATTCCTGTAAACAAATGCAACAGAATGGTTTTTACAGGGATCTCTGTCTCCAGCCTACATAGAAATACAGGCTATACTTAGACCCCAAAACAAAACACACTGTGAACTTGACAATCTTCACTGAAAAAGAAGAGAACGAGGACTCAGCGGCAAAGTCACATATGAAAGCACATTAGTCACACACAAGCGCAGGACACAGGACACTCCCTAAACAGGTAGAAGTAGGTACCAGGTAAAACCCGAATGCACCTGTGACAGCAAAGGCCAGGTACAATCTCCATCGGGAATCTCCAACCTGACATAATTTGTTAAACCTTTAATATCAGGCCCAACAGCTTTCAAAATGATACGATGTAAAACAAATAAAGAATATTCAAGGAGATATCCTTTGAATATTGCTGTCAGTCTGCAGCAGGATTACCAATGGTTCCTACTCAAAATAGCATAGGGAAACAAAGGAAGACTAACTGTAAAGCTGCTGCTTCCTTGATTAATAATACAGTAGCATATAACTCACTGGTAATGATGATTCCCTTGTATGCTACTTTGACCTGGTTCTGGAGGTAGCCAGTGACGACCACATGGTATTGCTGTGCACACTCCAGCCCTTTGATGAACAGCTCATTGCCTGTCACATTCTTTCTCAGGACAGTGGAGTGATCACTTAACTTGGTCACAATCACTTCGAAGTTGTAATCACTCTTTGCCTCTGGGCTGATCCATCTCAAGATTAAGCTATTAGATGTGATATTTGCTGCATGCATTTCTTCTTTTTCAGGGGCTAGAATATGAAAAGAGGCCTTAATTTGTTTAAAACAGCACTGACAGGAACTTGGATGGGGCCATCAAACTAGAACTGGTTTCCTACCTTTTTGTTTTTCTGTATGAAGCTCCTGATTCTCATGGTGTTTTCTGCATGAAGGAAAAGCAAAATAAACTTGCAAACAGGCTATTACAGTAGGAGAAAAATTATTGAGAAAAACAGAAATAAATTCATTGTACTGACGTATATACGATGTAATTGGGATTAACAGGGACTGGGTGAACCGTATATTAGATGCTGTCATTTTGCACTATTATTTTCATTATTGAATTATATTTTTCATTATACTAGTCAATTATCTTTACCTTACACCATTATGAATTAATAGTCCCAGGCTGTGACTGATTACGTACCTGTGTTTGGTTAAATGGGAAGGAATTTTCCAAGGTTGGTCACTCTGAAACCAATCACACTTCTGAACAATGTCAGGAGACATGTAGAAGGCATTTTCAGCTGTGTCAAGACAGACAGTAATGTAAAGTTCTTTGCAAATCATACAGTTTGAAAAGTGCAATGGGCAGTGGAGACAACCTTAATTTATCGTTGTAAGTCATTTTAAGAGAGGGAGAAAAACAATTTTTTTTAGGACAGTGCTGTACTGCACCACCTTAACAGTATGTGTTGAAATGCGGCAAAATAGCATATATTCAAAGTTGTAGTGCCATAAAAAATCAGCTTTACTCATCCAACAAATCTCCATACTCACTGCTGACATATTTCGGAAGCAACTGGCCAAACCGCTGAATAGGTTCATCATAAAATTCTGATGGCTTTTCAATCCTCTTGAAGAAGACATTTGTGGGCTCACTGGCCATTCTGGCTAAGATGCGGCTATCTGTGACACTAACACCTTCACCAACAGCAAAAATCACAACGAAGTAGCCTTTGCACTTGGCCTCTGTTGCAATCCTCAGCAGCCTTGCTTCGTCCTGCTCCCACACCGAGCCTGTCACCATCAGCACGATCATCTTCAGGTCCCGAGGATGTTGGGCTTTCTCAAAGATGTGCTCAATGGTGTATTCCATGGCGCTGCCCACAGCACGTACTCCCTCCAGTTGGACCACTTTGTTCTGAAGGACGTTCTTGATGTCTTCTTTAGATCCATGGTCCATCAAGTCAATATTAACCCGGACAGGGATGTTGCTGTTATTGTGTTCAAACTCGTAAGGAGCATGCTGAAGCACTGCCACTCGAGCATGATGGAGGGATGCCTTGGGATCTGAGGCGATCTCCAGCTGGTCGATGATATGGGAGATGTATCTTTTCATCTCAACAAATACTTTGGGCCGAGTGGTCTGGGAGCTGTCCATTAGGAAAGCAATGTCTAGGTCTATGTCTGTGGTGGGTGACCTCCGGCCTCTTACAGTTCGTGAACAGGACTCATCAGGGGCGCAAACATCTGAAAAAAACAACAACAACGTTCGTTTAGAAAATTCTGTCAATACTGTGTAAATAGTTTAATGACAACATTTTATGAAGTCGAGTGTGATATTTGAGAATAAAACTAATAATTTTTGGATTGTCTGTTGAAGTTTCATTCAAACGGCATGTAAAAAACCCCAAAGCATTCTTACCATAACAAACGTGGCAGGTGAAAACTTTCCTAATCAACTGGTTTAACTGTTGTACTCCGGATGGGAGAGTAAAGAATTGTGCCAACACGGTGTCGTTGATCTGAGACAGAAACAAGCAAAACAAAACTCACTTAAGTTACTTTATTACTACTGATGATGATAATACTAATACTGCTGCTACTACTAATAACAATAATAATAATTCAAATGTTAAAAAATCACAGAGCGTAATTCGAGAAGAAAGTATTAAGGAGTTTCATGTTACTTTTAATGGAGAGTAGTTGACTTTTCAAAAATGATTCCAATTGTGTACCCTTTTTTAAAAAAAAAGATTCATGTTCCAAAAAGCTAAGGCCTGGGAACACGGATGGAGAAGTACTGTTGTCATTGTTTCTTTAGGGATCATCTTTCTCTAGAGAGATGTGGAGCTGTACCACATAACTTAAGAGGTTAATTGTTTTTCAAATACAAATATAAAACTCTGGCTACTCTATGTAAAACTCAGGATACTCTAAGAACATATCTTAAAACAGGTTTAAAACATGTCTCTGTTTCATTTTTTGTCCTAAATAACAAGCCAGCTTTCCTTTCATAATAGAATAGCTGTCCATTCTGTGGGTAGGGCCCCTTTCCAGAAGAGACCCACCTGCAAGGCTTGAGTGAGGGTTCTATCCTCGCGGGCGGTAAGAAACACGGAGGATATTCCTGCATCATATAATGACAGAAGGGCAGCATTGAGGCTGCTAGTGGACCTTGAGGGCCCGTTGCTGAAGAAGATGGCCAGCTTCCTCACGAGGAAGCCACTTCGGACTCGCTTGAAGGTGTTCCTAGTCACAAAGTTTATGACGTTCTCCAGGTTGCGCTGCTTCCTGGTCACTAAGGTTTGCAGGCCCTCGATGTGCTGCAGCAGACTCTTCTTTTTCATCTTGTCAGCGAAGCGGATCTCTGTCGTCACCTCGTTGTTGTACACCACCAAGGCGACGCGGGCCCCCCGAGGACAGTTGCTCTCGGCGATGGTGATGTTTTGCACGATCGCCAGGATGACCTGCTTCATCCGGTTAAATGCTGCCCGGTTGACATCCTCTGAGGCATCAATGGCAAATGCCAGTTCCGTGGGATACAAGGGACATTCCTGAGCTCCTGTAAAAAAGCCACATGTACTGTTACAATGCCTGTCATTACAGGGCAAATTAAAATAAACAAGGCCCATGGCCTGCCCTATACCTAGTGAATAAAGTTTTGTACCACAGATAATTAAATAACAAAAGGGAACACTTGTCCCTTTGACAACAGCATCTGAATAGTTAACTGGAATATATATCAAGATATCTGAACAGAAAGTGTTCCATAATTATTAGTATGCATCTGCAGAGTGCCCAATTCTAATTTCAGCTCATGTACTGTAAGTTAAACTGATAAATGGTTGTTTATGGGTTCAAGCAACATTTCTCTGGATCACTTAATTGATTTACAAAAGTATTTTAGAATTACTTACCATAACAGCAAGCTGTAAAAGTGGAAAAAAGATACATTTTATGAATGTTAATAATTTCATTTTATAAATAGGTTTATATAGTATAAACAGTAAATACAATATCATTTTGTATTGTATCTATATAAACACTAAGCATATTCACTTCTACAGTACCACTCTGAAATCCAAAAATACATTTCAGTTGTCAAATTCCTGTGGTAGGAAATGTCAGAATACAGGCATTTGTTTCAGTCTATTTTCATTATTTGTTTACAGTAAGTTCTAAGTTATCATGCCCAAACAATTTGTAAGTATACCATATATTGCAACAGAAATATGCGAACAATTTGATTCTTCTTTCCTGACGTAAAATTGTATTTTCCCCATAGATGGTAACCTCTTGGGAGTTGTGTTTTAATGGGGTTTGTTATATTGATTACATATTTATTTTAATTTGAAACCGTCAATTATCCCACTAGGTTTTAAACTGTTTAAGACTTAAAGCTACAGCCACACATGAAGATGTAGTGAAGATGCACTGCAAATTCCACAGGGCCTAAATTCCAAAATAGTTATTTGCCAAAATATTTTTACCAGGGTAAATACTTTTAAGTTCACACTTAGCACAATATATCTTACTTACGGCATTTATCTCGAATGTTCTTGACAAGATCACATTGCTGAAAGAAACAGATTTGAGATTTAAGCATTGGCAAATGCAGAATTAGGTAACATCTTTACAAATGTAAGAACACAAATTGCTTGATATCTGCCAACAGCGGTTATCCTTGTCCTAAAGGGCCATTATATCTAAAGGGTTTCAGTGCAGCTGGGCCAGTCCTAGATCAGTTTACATTATGTGCACCAGATTAGCAGCTTCTCCAGATTTTTTATTTCCGTTGGTACTTTGAAAAGACCTACAAAACCTGCAAAGACACCAAGGACTGGGACTGAGAACTCCTGGCCTACTGGGGGTAATATCTCTTTTTCTGAAGCATGCAGTATAATTCCATCATTAAGATGATTTTTTAGATATCCATGATAATGAGCGATTCCATACCTGAGCTGCAGCCCCTCTTAGACCAATGTCACCCTGCAAATGAAAACATAAAAGTAAAAGAAAAATTAACACTGTACAAGCCTACTGTATAAGTATACAGTATGTTCAGCAATACAGTATGAAAGGGAAAAACACACTTGTGTAGCTGGGGAAATTTCACTTCAGCTCACTCCCTAATATAAATAATACTCACTCTGACTATAAAACAGTAAGGGATATATAATTACTGTATAGGAACTGTAGGTTCACATGCTCTTTTTTAGGGCAGGCAGACAAAATATTTTTGAAAATGATACAACTTATGGATGAATCACTTCCTGTTCACGTTTAACTGCTGTTGGTACTCCTTCATTTCTTCTGTGTAACCCTTATAACCCCTCAACGTATAACACTCTTCAGAAGTAATCACTAGTGCTTCAAGCCTTAAAGGGGTAGTGCATTCACTAAAGAAGTAACGAAAAATCTTAAGTGACTTAATCTTTAATCTTTTCTCTTTTTAATCTTGAATGAGGAAAAATTGCTACATGTACTTTTTATTGGTGCTGCACGTGTTGAAAGAGTTCTAGGAAAGGTAATACGCTTCCTTACATGAGGTCCAGGGTCTCCTGTCTGTCCCTTTGGTCCAGGCTCACCAGGATCACCTGCATTTCCCTGAAATATTAGAACGAAATATTATGAAATATATTATAAAGTCTTTCTTTTTTCTGATTTTTACAGGAATTCAGTAGGAAGTGAAAAGAAATGTATCTATTATGTGTCAGAAAGGCAAAACCTTCTTATTAACAGTACAATATGTGCTGTACTTTACTTTTCACCAGTTCATACATCAATGCCAGAGTAGCAGGACACAACCATGCTGTACTTCAGATCAGCAGAGACAATAGTTGTACCTGATTCTCACTGCTTCCAGTGCCTGAACTCAAATACGAAGTGGCGTCTGACTGGAGATTGCGTATGCTACCTGACATGAGTTCAATTTCCTTCACTAGTATCAATTGACTATCAAATATTAAAGTTTGTTATTGTAAATCTGCACGCCAGTTGTGCTTCATATGCATTTACTACCTCAGTGTGACTATATGCGTTTCAATGGTAAAATCTGAAAACAGATATTCCAAAGATATTCCAGCTGTTTGTGTGCCTTGGGAGATGTCGGAAAACCCATTGATCTCTCAGTACTCACTCTTTGTCCACGGTTTCCCTTCGGACCCACAGTCCCTTTTGGTCCGGAATCACCAAGTGGCCCCTTTTGATAAAATGCAGGATGGAAGTGAAATTCCACAGCACAGAAAGTACAGAAGCTTGCAGGCAAAACCTTTGGGTGGGTGGTCACCGCTGTGCTAGTGTAAGCAACAAGTATCATGAGATCTGCAAACTTCTATCACATAAGAAAAGAGCAGAAATAATGAGTCGAACACCAGATTCCTGCCTGTGTTACTCTAACGGAACAGCAAACATGCATAAAACTAAATTCCCAGTCTGAAGTTTCATCTGCAAATAATGAAATCAGAATCACAGCTTACCTTTGGTCCTGGAAATCCTCTGAATCCTGGATCGCCCTTTATTAAAAGATGGATTTTGAATTAGCAATATGGGATGAAACGTTTCATTGCAGCATTCATTTTCATTAGGTCCGCTGTCCTTTATTCTAATGCTAGCTTAGCATTTACAAACCGTGTTCTGTCAAAAGGAATATTTAGTACTGTAAAAAAGTACTTATTAAAAAATAAGTCGGCTATAGTTGCACTAACAAAATGACACAAAAAGCCCAATTTTTTACATAAGGGGATGTAGTGTAGTTAAAACAATACTTGTTTTATTTAACACATAATTTATATGTGGAGGGACAAGTACAAAGACGTGGGATGTAACAAAGAAGCAACTAGGGGTTGCAAATGAGGTAATGCAAAGCACTTAAGCTGTTTTCATAATTCACTGTTCAAGTTTTTTTAGTGCTTTTATCACTGAAGGCAGGGAGTATTTATTGGACTCAAGGTTGAAAATGAACAAATCTAATTTTTGCATTACTAGCTAGGAAATCTAGCAGAATCAAATTAAGTTACCTTTCGTCCTTTGGGACCAGGAACTCCAAATCCATCTCGACCATCTTCACCCTGATAGAAAAATGAACAAAATTTTCACAAAGGTGGTGTACTTCAACACATAGTTCTTACTGTGATATCTTGACCTTTATACTGACTTACTCACTGACCTACTCACTATTTCTGCAGCACCATCCCTGTGAAAGAAAATCTTTTCACAGAGCAACTCAACTTGAATAAGACAACCACTACAGGATAAATCTGGTTCCTCACATTCTCCACAGTCTCAGATCTTACTTTTTTTTTTAGGTCACATCTAAATCTAACTTCCACGCCTGTAAATATGGTGTGACTCCGGACAGACTATGCAGACATTTAAACATGGATCGATCTAGTAGGAACAGAAGCACTGAGCTTTCAGACACAGGTTTGGGCATTGCATAAAAATGCAGTACCTTTATCACCTCCTTCCCCCTCTTTATATAACAGAGCCTATGAAAACTGAACTTAGTCTCATTTTAGAAATTCTGAGCCAGCAGATAACCTGATGCAGGCAAAGTCTTCAGAGACACTGCAATAGTGCCGGAAGAGTTTCAGATACTCACGGGTTCACCACGAGGGCCCAGTGGTCCAGGATTTCCTTTTGGTCCTGGTTCTCCTGGTTCTCCCTGGAAAAAGAAAACCCTTACATAACAATCTCACTGCACTTGCCTAACAGAGGACTCCCTTATTAATGTATTATGAGTTCAGCTCGGGATAGAACAAAAACAATATTTTGGACCCAGCCTTTTTGTGCCATAACGCGAAATTGTGCAATGATATTTTTGACATGGCAAAATGCCTTCCCCCAGTTGTTGAAGACATTGCATCATGTGGCTGAAAGAGGCACGGAAAGAAACTTAAGTTAATCTGCAGCTAATTAACTGAAATCATAAATTATTAGAAGTAATAACTGCAGTCACATGTTACGGTTGAAAACAAATCTTTAATAAAAACTCACTGTTTCTAAAATGAGTTATTCATATCCATAATGATGGCATAGCAAGGTGTGAAACATGGGCACGTGTTCTGGGTTGTCCACTGCTTTTGAACAAGGCATAGCAAGTAACACTCACCTGTTGTCCAGTAGTTGTATCCAAAATATTTTATTTCTCGTTGAGGTATATCAAAGATTAGAAATAAATGCCAAAATGTACATGTTCTTTTCAGATGCCTCATTTTTCTGCTTGCATGCGTATAAATCTCAAAAATACAGATTATCAGGCACTATTTTTTAAACCCTGAGGGTTAAAACCAGGACGGGCAGTCTTGTCTGAAAAGCCACTGAAGACGTAGAGCACATGCAGTATCAATCTGCGTACACAGTGTGCTGTATTATACAAGCCGAATGCCAGCGTGTTGGAGCAGCAGGTCTGGTGCCTGCATGTACAGTACAAACTGAGCTTCTACCTTTCGACCGTTGGGTCCTCTTCTACCAAGATCACCAGAGGGTCCAGGAGATCCTGCAGGCCCCTGCCATCAGACGTACAATACAGATTAGCTCATTGTGCCTTTCTCTGTTATTACACCGAAATCACCACTACCATTATTACTATCAGGTCAAATCGAAAAGCAGCAAGACACCTTTCAGAAAAGTTTTTACTACTGCTCTTTAAATCAGTGGCTGGTACAGTATATACTGTACAACAGTAACCCAACAAACAATAATTTTCAAGAAGAGTAAGACCATCTGCTCAGTTGAGTCTGTCGAGTCTGTTGAGTCTTACTCTTGCTCCAGGACTTCCATCCTCTCCTCTGATTCCTGGGGCTCCTACTGGTCCGGGTATACCCTAAACCAGACACACAAATTGTCCTTTTTAACGCTCAAAGAGTCATGTGGATTAGCAGATATCAAGCTGTTATTAAAATGTCATACTACCTTGTGAAATGTGAGAATCCTAGGCTGTTTTTTCAATAGTAATGAAAAGAATATATATTTTGATAACATATTTTTGTAAACAGTGTGATACACAACAAATTTAATGGCCCTACTTCTGGTACAAAGAACGACATTATTTTAAGTGATTAGTCCTTACAAATATACAAACAGTATATGTGATAAGTGCATAAATACTTATGTTGCTGTTTTTTTCCAGATTAAATTAGATAATAGCAAATGGACCTGATGTACTGTAGTTGTAGTTCATAAAAACTTACTTGAGTGCCTCTTATTCCTGGCTCTCCTGCTGGCCCTGGAGGTCCAGGCTCCCCTAGTAAGCCCTGAAACATGAGACAGACAAAGGAAGACGGTTAAGAAGATGAACTCTCATGGTATACCGATCATGCAGAGCCTATGCTATATTCTCATGAGAGTTTCCTGTATGATAATGACGTCAAGGTTATGTAATGCAATTACATATACAGTATATAAACTTGGCTTGAATGTTTTATGGCTATTTCCAAAAATAATAGGAACATACTATCATATTCTACAAGCTTGAGGATAAAGCAGGGAACAGAAGCAAGCTCCTCTCAGAACAGGAAGAACATTTATGGGGACACTTACCTGTGGCCCAGGGGATCCTCTTCTACCTTCAGCCCCCTAAATTAAAAACAAATGAATAAAATAAAGTCACACAAATGCACAAGTCTCGGGAACTTGTTTATGCTATCAAGAGATCTAAGACAGGTTAAAGTCACTAGTCTGCTGATTTTCATCTCAGCCTTCTAGATGATGGCGTTGTAGAAATCTGGCTCTGTCCTGGGGTCATTACCCCTGATGTGGCTTGAGGGAATTTTAAACAGACACCTGGCGCTGTATGTGACCCTCGGAAATAGCTGAAAGGCGGGATAACATCACCAGGAATACGGCCACTAGGCCATAAAGGAAATGAGCACTCATAAAGCCCCATTCATGGTATTAACATACAGTAAACGTGGCTGGTCTCTGACTATAAAACATTCTGTAACATTCTTGCAATTCATGGCACTGTGGAAGTTACACCTTCTGTGTGTCTCATTCAGTGTTTTCCATTTGTGGAAATTTTCGTTACAATTAAACTCCTTGCAAAACTTCACTGGACTGCGCTGTGACTCCTTGAACAGGGACTGGATGACGTCAGTAGGAAACAAGGACACATATAAAAAAAGTCTGATCTCCATTTATCTCATTTTATGAAGTCTTTTACGAATTCTTTGCAGAAGCGAATGAATGACCGATGACACCTTGAGAAAGGATGTTAAAAGAGTTAAATTCAAACATGTACTGTGGCCTTCACTTTAATAAATTAATTTTTGCTTGTGAAAGACTAATGCTTTTATACACTCATTAGTTGTGTCAAATAGAATAGAGGATGCATGTCATACCTTCGGTCCTATTGTACCTGTGGCACCCTGACCTCCATCCTCTCCAGGATCTCCCTGAAAAAGAGCAGAGCCTGAGCATCACCTCTGATACAACAAATGTTTGTTTCAATTATCAACACACTATCAGTATAATGAGGACACCTGTCTTCCTACCCTTTACTATGTTATTTAGAATTTCAGCCTTGCAAAAAAGCTCAATTAATGTAAACTTGCTAGTCAGTAAAAAGCTGGTAGAAAAAAATACATAATCTTCTCTTCCATAAACTTGTAAATGATTTGAAAGTAAGGTTTAATTTTTAAGTGTCAAGAAAATGTGTTTTTCTTATACTACCTCCATATGAATGTTTTCAAATACCAGTACCAGACGTGAACACATCATGGAAATGCAAACAGCAGCTGTACAGTATATTACCATTGGTCCAACATCTCCCTTCTGTCCTTTTGGTCCTCTCTGAGGGTTATCTGCTCCAGGGGTACCCTATAAAATAGTTTATAGTATATTTTAAACCGTATAAAAACAGTTAAATAATTGCAAACATCTGTATTTTATTTAGTTTTCAGTATCTTACAAAATGAGATGAGAAATCAAAACATGCATACCTGTGAAGGAATCACTAGTATTTGAATCTGTTTGTTTGAATTTTCTACTAAAGAAAGTGATAACACAGGGCCTCTGGATTGGCTCAGCTGATGAAAGAAGCTCTCCCAAGTGCAGGTTGGGCAATACTATATGATTGCAGGCTCCAGCCTGGGTCATGTGATTAGCCAACTGTTTGAGAGAGGGCGGGATGTGTCAAGCAAGCCCTTCTCATCTCTCAGTGACACAGGCCCCTTTGATTCTGACAGCTAATAATGCTCCACTGCTACTGCTGGTGCAACATCTGGCACAGGGGTGTGTTTTATATACTGAGAGCCATTACAAATGCATCATTTGAGTATTGGAACCAATTACATTTGTTTCAGTACGTATAGACACATATAATGATGTTGGCAGTAATGGCATTGTAGTGTATATATTCTAGAAAAGAGTCCAGCAGGGCTACACTGATTCAAGATTTGTAATAACACACTCACAGGATCTCCTCTAATTCCTGTTTCTCCTCTTTCTCCTCCTGCTCCTTTAACCCCTTTTGGACCCTGCAAGAACAGATATTACAATAAATAAAATTATACTATATTAAAGTATCACTCACTCTTAGTAAACTATAGGACATGGCATATTATAACACATTCTGCTTCACTACTTCATACCCAGAGACAGATTGAGAATGAAATGGGAGGATGTGACAGAAAGCTCTAATTGAACGTCTAATTGAAAAGGGTAAATAGTAACTTCAAATAGCACTATTAATTCAAAAATTTTTGTTAAAGTACATTTATTAAAGTTTTTATTTTCCTACATAACAGAGCTAATAATAATTGTGGAGTTTTATATAGTTTCATATAGCTAGGCTTAGGTTACGAAAATATGGGAAGATTGTTTTCTTGCACAGAGTCTGCACAAGAGAACCTTTCTCCGAATGAATTGGTGTCTGGTGGGGCGTATACTGTGTCTACTGTGTCTAAAACAGTAATGTTTTAGAATACTGTTTTAAGCTTATGCAATAAACCTGTGATTTGTATATGCTTAATGCCTGAATGTTTCATTGCTTATATTACTGTTTTTGGTAAATTTGCCTTCCAAATGAAATTAGTTGGATAGCATGTCAAAGCACCAAATAGAATTTTGTGATTCAGAATCAAATCAATTCATCAGACATTCAATCAATCAACTGAAGTTTTAAAATGTAATAAAAACATCCTGCCAAGTCGTGGCAATCACTGTAGTGTAGATATCTGTGCCAGATATCAATTACACTTCATGCAATTTAGGCTGCTACAGAATTAGCATAGTCATTTCAATATGGAACCCACTCAAACTTCCCCAGTGAAACAACTTCTATTGAGGTTTAGTTTAAGGGCATGATTCAGTGCTAATCTTCCACTGTGTATGAGTGGCTATTCTGACCTTTGCTTGACTCACCTTCTTCTGCCCAAGCCTTATGAAATCCAAATATCGATATCAGTGGTCAAGTTACATTACAAAAACACAGACACCTTTCAAAGCAAATTCAACTAAACTGAAATAATATTAACTAAGGTATACATTGCATCAAGCACAATCTTAAACAGTAGAGATTTATAATGTGATCTTACTACTTTAAATAAAAAAGAAAACCTAAGAAAAAAACTTTTATTATGATTGATGATAACATTGCACATGAATTAACTCACTGTGTTTCTAGAACTGGTTTTAATTAACACAGACTAAGCACCAGTTTCTAACCCTGGTGATAAGACACACTTACCCTCCTACCAGGGCTCCCTCTTTCTCCTGGAGGTCCTGTCACCCCACTGACACCCTGGAAATAGAAGCAGAATGGAACAAACAGCCTAGAATTACTCCTATTGACACACTATCCTCAGTTTGGATAATACACTCAATTTCAACTTCAAGCTATACTGTCAAAAAAAACATTCTTGCACTATGGATTGGGTCTTCTGGGTTTGTTGGTTTTATTCGTCTTTTACCTCTTCCCCGTCGATTCCATCTAGACCGATGTCTCCAAAATCGCCCTGTAAAAATAAGGTAACCAGCACATTGATAACATGTCAGCGAACAGAGAAAAAAAATGAGCAGGCATTAAATCTTGTTGCATGAAGGCTTTGGTTGATAGCAGCCGTTACCTTCTCTCCAGAGTATCCGCGGGAACCCTAGAAGAGACAGAGACACAGCTGCTGTTAACACATGGACTTCCTCAAATTGCTCCATTTATTTAGAAAATTAAATGTTAAAACAAGGGTGTCAGGAGTGGAGTTTCATTCTTTAGAGTTTCCCACCTTTATGCCTCTCTGTCCTGGGCAGCCCTGGAATCCTTGTGTCCCATTCACACCTGGGGGTCCCCTCTCACCCTGTAAGAGGGAAAGAGAGTATAACAGTGTACAGCATAGTATTACAGTAGCGGAAGACTTACAAACGCATGTGCATTCACAATAACAGTGTGTGCACATGCATTTATGTATATATACTATGTATATACTGTATACAGAATTTTGTACATGAATATTGTAGATCTAGAATACGGCATTGTACCTGCATTCTTATAATCCCCGGCTAACAGTCAACAATTAATTCCTTACTTTCCAAGGGAATGGGCTGAGTTTAAAATTCATCTCTCTGTACTTATTGTGTGCTGTGTGCAAACTGTTGTATTGCAGGTGATTCTTGATTATTCTGATAATCAGGAATTGATAGTAGATATACTCTAATAGTCAGGTTGATTGCAGTGAAAACTTCATTATGTGTAGCCCACAGTTTCTGACAGCCACAGTTTAGGATTTTGCCAAAGTAGGCTCTTTAAAGAGCCTAGTACCACTTTTTTAGACAATGGTCTTTATGTGTAAAAAAGGCTAAAACACCTTACAAACTACTACAACATAAGAATAACAGTTATGGTGCTAAAACTGAGCTTCGACAGCATGCATCCTAAAGTGTCCTATATTGAAAACTGTGATTCTCAAGCCTACTTACAGGTCCACCTTCATCACCAGGATGTCCTCTGTAACCTGGCCCGCCTGGTCCTCCCTGTGGTCACAGCAGAAGGACAACCTTAGATTACACTCATATAGGAGGTTCAAGACTAGAACACTTTAAATACATGATGCTTCATTACACTGTTCAGGTAACATTATAGCCAAACATGCAAGTAAATATCACATTACAGAGACATAGTGTGTTAAGATTAAATATAAAACACAGCTCAGTTCAGAATACGTTTTGAAATAAATACATTAATTGATTAATTCATATAAATAAAATGACCTTAGGTCCCACGATTCCTACAGGTCCTCTATCCCCTCTTTGTCCAGTGCACTTGCAGGGGACTAAGCAGCATTCTCGTTCTGCTATGTTGTCCTTTGTTATTGAGAGAAGTAGAAGAGAAACAGAGTTATCATACAGATGTTTAAATAGCAGCAAACACAGATTATTCTATGAACAGACTGCAGTTTCCCACCAGCTCTTCAGACAGCTCATAGTCCACGTCCAGCAGGTTAAGGCGTAGCGGCCTCGTGTATCGGAAGCCACGTCCATACTCCAGCAGCACTGCATCCTCAAATCCAGACACTCTCTCCAGGCCAACCAGGATGAAGGCACTCACATCAGCTACAACAAATTATTGTGGTTTAGAACTATACACTTTTTTGCATAATTCATTCTTACTTTCCCCATACAGCTAGATCACTGGACTGGATTCTGTTCTATTTCTTAAATGATTGTATTTATAAATGGCAGATCTGTTGACATCTGACAGGCCCAATTTAGAATATTCCTTTCTAATTTCAAAGAAATTGTAAAAACAAAATAATTTTGAAGAAGCACCTGAAGATCGGAGCGTGTCTATGCGTTCTTTCATTTGAGCGTATGCTTCATCGAGACCATCTGTTAGGTGAATCACAACCTACAACATGAATGGATCAAAATGGATTTTTTAGATGACATGGGTTAATTTAAACTTTTAATTAATGGTGAAACATTACACAGTTTCATTTTCATCAGGCTTTTGTTTTTGCACGGAGCTTTGGTAGCTCAGACGGCAAGGGCGTGTAGCTCCTGACCGCAGGTCCTGGGTTCAATCCCAGGTAGGCCCAAGTGATGTAGCTCTAATTCCTTCCCGACGGCTCCCAGGTCTACTCAGCCTGCTTTCCAAATGAGTGCTAGAGGTTCACAACGTCGAACATACCTTGACAGATCCTTGTGTCCCACTGCTTTGGAACATGCTACGATAAGCATCAATGGTCTTTGTGTTCAGGATGTAAGGCCCTCTGGAACGGAGGTTTTTGAATGACTCGATGAGCTGGGGCTTGTACTCGCTTAAATCAAATCCAACCTGCTGCCCTGCAGAGTTAAGAGCCACCAAGCCGACTCGCACAGAGGGTGCCTGAGAAGCTGAGCAGCTTATTGGATGCATCTGGGAGACTCGTTGAAGAATTGATTCCATCTTGGACTCCAACCCTCTCTGAGCTACAAAAATGTTTTGTCCCGCTCCAACGCTGGAGACGTCAAAGCCTACCAAGACCTCCATCTTGCACTCTGTTAACAAAACGAAAGTCAAATTTTGATTTGATGTTGTGATTTACATCACAAAAATCGATTTCATCGATTTCACCTGATTTTTCTGGCTGCTTAAAAAATGCAGTAATGGTTTTGTCTCATGCTTGCTTCTTATGAATGGCATTTATCTAAAAGATAAATGTATGTCAATGACAAAGAGCAACTTTACACATAGGTGAAAAGAAGCTACTTTCCATCTGCTGGTGGTGTCAAATTAACCCACCGATTGTTTAACATGTATCTGAAGGCTAAGAGTGGATGTTCATACTGTACATTAAAAGCTCACTCCAAAAAATACCACTATAAATGGGTTAACATGGACTGCAGAATTCACAAGAATGTGTACAATATGTCTTCATAACATGTTCAAAATATGTATAGATAATTTAAACTTTTAGTGTACAATATCTGTAAATTTTCAAAAAGTCACATGCAAACTCTTCCTGTTACCTCTGGAAATTTCTGGTACTCCGGTGCAGTGCTTTATGCCTTTCACTTCATCGACCAGCGCTTCCAATATCTGTTCGTTCAGCTCCGAGAGCTCTTGGAAGGTGCTAGCCCTTGCGACTGTGGTGGACTCACTGCCAAGATTGCTGAGTTCATCCTCAATATTACCTACTCCCACTGCATATATCCGTACGTTATCAGATTGGAGCGCCAAAGCTGCTGCTTTCCCATCATCCTGAGACCTCCCACCAGTCACAATCATTAGGATTTGTGGGACTCTCTCATCCTTTCTGCTTCCTCTTGCTTTAATAAAGTGCTGGTCTTGAACATGCTTAATGGCAGCGCCTGTGTTGATTCGCGTTCCTCCTTTATATTCTGCCTGGCTAATAGCATTTAAGATGTCATCTTTGTTACTGTAAGTATTAAGGTAAAACACATCTGTCACATCTGTGGAGTAGTGGGCCAGACCAATCCGCAGCTTATCGTTATCTGTGTAAAATAGGTCAATCAAGTTGAGGATGAACTCCATGACCGATTTGAAGTTGTCACGCCCCAGATTAATTGAACCATCAACTAAAAACACAATGTCAGCAACTTTGATGTCCATACCTGCAAAAGTCAAAAGAACGGATTTAAAAAAGAGTAATACATCGTGTACTGTAACAACACTCTTGTTGTATAAGTACATTGGTTATGTAATGACACTTTTACTGTCCTCCCCTTTCACTATTTTCTTTGGTAAATGTAGCAACACTGTGCAACCTATGAAATTGAATTAAACTGGATGTTACAAAATGTTTTTTTTTTCCATTTCCCCTTCTGGGGTTCAGCAGCCGTAATGAAGTTTGATCAAAATTAAGGTAAGAAAATACAGTACCTGCTGCAAGAAAAGCACTTCCAGCAAAAAAAACCCAATATATCTTAAATTTTATTTTAGAGTGACTGAGAATTTGTGTGCCAGCTCAGGTAATTCCGGAGTGGAGTTATTCTCTAAACGTGTGACTTACCAGGAATTTCCGTAGGGGGTTTAGTTGTACTGGGAGTATCGCTGAGTCTTGCGAGGAACTTGTCCTGAATATTGGACAACCCTGGAAAGTTCTGCACTTTAAGGACATCTTCAGGAGTGGTAGCAATCTGACTCAACTGTCTTGTATCTGCAGTACTGGTACCAATCCCTATGCAGCCGATATTTATGTTCCTCAGCATTGGGCCATAAATGCTGACATCACTTGGTGACTTGCCTCCAGTAAGCACCACTAAGTGCTGTGAAGCATCAGCTGTCCTGACCCCCGTTGCAGCTTTTAATTCAGTTCTGATAACAAAGTCAAGAGCTTTGGCTAGATTGGCAGTAGGTCCTCCAATGGGACGAAGCTTTCTCACTGCAGAGATCACATCATTCTTCCTGGAAAACGTGTTCAGAGAGAATTCTGTATTTTGCCTGCTGCTGTACTGTACCACAGCAATGCGGATCTTGTCAGAAGCAATGTCAAGCTGCCGAAGTACTTTGAGTATGAAGTCACGGATGTGGGCAATGCCATCAGCTCCAACACTGTCAGACCCATCAATAAGGAAGACAATATCCTTCTTACCCAATCCAGGAAGAACTAAAAAAGAGAAATGGTGCTTGTTTTAAAAAGCAGATAAGTTACTTGACAACATTACTTGATAATCTCTCAAAGACTACATTATTATATTTATGGCCTTTCCTTAAAAGTAGGCATAAGGAACAATTAGAGGCAAAGTCTAAACCTAAACCATTCAAAGACCAGGAGATCAGAAAATAAAAAAATTCAAACTCTCTCATGAATTAGCATTTACTTAATACTATATTTTTTTCTTATTATAAATCGTATCCATGATACAGCATATGTTTGACATCAGGTTAATATATTTTCTTACCTATATCTGGAGTTTCAGAAGTTTCCTTTACAATATCTGATGTTGTCATAGTAGTTACTGGAGCTAACAACTGCTGCTCAATGGTAGAAAGGTCTTGGAAATTTCTCAGGATATATGAGTATTTTGGACTGAGGGATATATACTTCAGCTCCTCTGGATTGGCATTCTTTGCTCCAACAGAAATAACAGCCACAGTGTTTAACTTCAGTTGCTGAGCAGGGGCCTCAACATCATCTGCTGAGCTGCCCCCAGTGACAACTATCAGAAATTGGGGAACCCCTTCTTCAATCCTGCTGCCTGCCGACCTCTGAAAGATCTCCTTGGTGACGTATTCCAAAGCACGGCCAGTGTTCAATCGACTCCCTCCCATGTTCCTCATTCTCCTGACTGCATCACGCACTTCGTCCTTAGAGGAGTGTTCGTTCAGCAGGAATTCCACCTTGGGGTCATCACTATACTGAACAACAGAGACCCTCACCTTGTTCAGGGAGACATCCAGCTTCTCCACAACTCTCTGAATCATGTCTCTGAGGTTTGGGAACTCACTGCGAACAGCAGTGGTTCCATCAATCAAAAACACTATATCCCTTTTATCTCCTGTTCGGACCACTGTAGTGCAAAAGAATGCAGGCATCAGAAATAATTTCTAACATTTTAAACACAGTGCAATTATAGAGAAAATAAAAGTATTTATGTACACTTTTCATAGAGATAACAAAATCAGGCAGGTAATCAGGGATCATAAAGCTAAATGCTAATTAAATATCAGAGGGAAGCACATTAATTAACATGCTAAAACTAAACAAAAGGAAAATGCTATAATTTGTATTTTTACTCCTTTACTGGAAATGGCTGAAAGTATTAACAACTGTAATATGCAAACTAGAACACATTTAAATATATTTAATGATTCTATGCACAACATGGAACTACTGGTAGTTGTGTGTTTACAAGGATTTTATAACATTGTAAGAGTGCTCTAGATTCAGGCGAGATGGAGATTCTTATCTGAGCCACATTTCCCAGAATGCGGGGGGGAAGGGGGAATGAGCGTCCACTATTAGTCACCTGACCAGGTGGGAGAAGATAATTGGTTAGGTGACGTTTTAAATACCAGGAAGCAGAGGCTTCAAGCTGTCTATCTGATCTGTTGTCAGGAGATGGTAAGGAAATGACTGACCATGAAACCATGCATGAGAGAAGAATTTGGTGTGAATTTCAGAGAGAGAATTGTTTTTCTGAGGTACAAAATCAGTGCTCATTGTTTACTGTAGGGGTAAATAATCAAAACCACCAAAACACAAACATTAAACTTAAGCTCCTCTTTGGGCTCCGTTAGCTTCTGTTGAGACTCTTCTCAAAACTAAGTGTCTCTCTGAGACATTCAGAAAACTCCAGAACTCTTGTGTAGGTTCCAAAGAGTTATGACTGACTGTTTAAGTTGCTAGGTCATAAGCTGGTAAGTGAACAGCCACTATGTTATTTATTCTTAAAAGAAAAGGCATGTTACAGCATCAGGATTTTTTGGAGTATATTGTTGTTCACTTAGAACTGTTTCTTTTGGAGTGTTGCATTACTAATATCTGTATTCATAATACTTAATTATTAATATTATGTATTACTGTAATAATAAAAGAAGAATAATGGTTTAAGATAAACACAACAGAACAAATGCATATAGAGATAACACCTCACAATATATGAATGTGCTGTACCTTACTGCATGTAACATATGATAGTTTCACTCCCAAAAGTATTTATATTGAACATAGCTTTCTTCAAAAAGCATTGGACTTTAGTTTCTTTCATTGCTACATTTCTGCTAAGAATTTCTAGAACAAGAATATTTTGTAGAAATGTAGAAAAAATCTATTTAAATGGCATATTTTCTTACCTGTAACTGTGGGAAAGACTGGGAGAACTTTAGATATTTCATCTTGGGACAACTCTGTCAAGCGTGAGATGAGTCTTTGTTGGACATTGTAGATGCCAGAGAAGTCATCAACAGGGTAATAGAAGTCAGGACTAAAGGAAATTATTTGAAGTTCACTGGGGTCAGCATCTCTAGTCCCTATACTGAAAGGCACAACCCTTGATTGCTTGAGAACTGTTGCTGGGTCTCTCACATTATCATTGGATCTGCCTCCTGTGACAACAATCAAAAACTGTGGAACACCCTCCTCCTTCCTGCTACCGCGTGCAGGGGAAATTACATCCGAGCCGACAAATTTAAGAGCTGCCCCCATGTTGCGCTGTCTTCCACGCTTATGTCTCAGTCCCTTTATGGCATTCAGAACACCTTGTTTGGTTGTGTGGGAATTCAAGTAGATATCTGCCCTGGGAGTATCACTGTACTGGACGACAGCAACCCGAATCTTGTTTTCTGAAACACTAAGGTTTTCAACAACTCGTCTAAGAAATTCCTGAATAGTTGTGAAATCCTCTTGAACTCCATCAGAGCCATCAATCAGGAAGATAACATCCTTCTTATTACCTTGGGGTTCTGAAAAAAAAAGATAAATATTTTAGCTCACTTCTGCAACACAACATGCAAAATTTCTTAACATACTGTAGTTTGCACCTCTATTACAAAAACTGCTCTTTAACAAACTTATAATATTGGTTATTCATTTTTTAAAGTCATTTGAATTTTCCCAAAGACAAATCTACCCGTAGTGTTTTTCATACAAATACAACCAATAATTATAATCTTTTAAAAAAGAAAGTTGCATATAGTGGGAGTTGCAATGGTAAAATAAAAGGGATATACAGTATATTAGATATTACAATTCAAAAGTGCTTTATGAAAAAGCCATTGAAAAGCACAACTGACAGGGGAAATAATTTCATTTTGAAAAGTAGTTACATGACATATTGTACTGTGTCACCTCCATATAAATAAAACTAAGCTGTATAGAACTTACAAAACATGAACACAAATGGAATCACTCTCTTTTTCCCAATATTCACAACAGACTAAAAACTTAAAAGTGATTCTCACACAAATATATAAAACACTGTACATATTAATTTACCTAAATCGCCATTTGTAATGTGTTTCACTACTACTGTTTATAAATCTTGCAATTACAGTTACTCATTGCAATTACTCATGTAAGAGATAAACGAAACTGCATATTTTAAAGATCTTGGAATTCATGAACAGAAAATGTATCCTTGGAAAATAAAATATTGTTTGCAGATGGCTTATAATACTATATGACCTATTGTTCTCTCTTGACAGAACAGTGCCAGGTACACAATAGTGTAAATGTGAGAGAAATCAACACGATTCCATAAGTAGATCTTGAACGTCATTAAATTATAAAGAATTACAGTACAATTAATTTCATTTACAATTTTTACATAAAATAACTGGTCTTCTCTGTTTTGAAACTTTTGTCAGATTATAAATTGTACAGAGAGAACAAGAGCATGATCAAAAAAATTGCTCTTTAGTATCCACTTTCCTTGTTCATAAAATAAAATAAAACAGAATATCACTTGGTATTATAGTTGCTGGAACCCTAACATCTTTTCTAGAATGTCAACCAGTCAGCAGTATTACAAACTAAGGAAGATTAAAAAAGGTAGAGTCCATATACAGTAACAGCTGCAAAAGCTCATCAGGCCAGATCTTACAGTCTGAGGGTGCAATAATGTTAAATGGACTGGAGATTCATTGGAGTAAGTTTAAAAAATCAGAGAACGGTACCAGATCCAAGAATATCACTTGAAATATGTTTATATCAAAATAGGTGAAATTAGGAGAATATAATCATTATTGCGCCTTCTTCAAGACAAAGAAAACATTTCATAGAAAATCTGGAGCATTATCTGCCATCATCAACATCAGATTATAACATACTTAACTTAAAAAGGAATAAATTTCAAAATCAGCGCAAACACAGCTAATTGAACAAAGTGTTAGTTTACCTAAGACAGGGGGTTTGACTTCAGAAATTTGTGTCAGTGTTGATAGAAGTTGCTGTTGGATGTCTGGAAGGTCAGAAAACTCTCTGACAGTTAGAGCATAGTTGGGATCGTAGGAGATTGTTTGCAGTTCCCGGGTGTCAGCATTCCTGGTTCCAATTCCCAGAGGAACAACCCCAAGGCCCTTCAGAGCCGAGGCAGATCCACCCACATCATCTCTGGACCTTCCCCCCGTCAACAGGATTAACAC